TGCCATTTTCCCTTCGGATATAGTAATTTTTTCCCAGAGGAAAAAATAAATAAATTTGAAGCCATTTAACATTACGTGTGGTAATACACATTAAAAAGGCCCATTGTTGTTACTTATCTCCCAACACGTAATAGTGGATGACAGCTGTAAATGTTCTCAGGATATTCATTTCACAGGAAGTAGTGGGCGGTGGGAGGGTGTTTATCCAGCCTCCATGTCTGCAGCTTCCAGGGATTCTGCTATCACAGACTGCTGCTCCACCTCTAACAAAAGATGCAGCCTCACCCCTCCTGCTCAGCTGCTCTAAATTATTTATCTCGGCTGCTCGGTCACTCAAAACCAGCCAGCCTCTTTGTAAAGCTTTATTTAGACTGGTAGTGACAGAGTAACCTCTCTTGCAGTCACACACATGCTGAGAAGAAGATGGGAATATCAGCTTAAAAAATAAAAAATACTGATACGGCTGGGAGAGTGAAACCAGAGTAACACTGGTGGGAGCTCCGTGTTGTAGGGTTTGTGTTGTCATGCAAGACGACTGAAGATTGTGAGACTGCCCTCCCAGCAGTGCAAGTGATTGAAGCGTGTCAGCCCTTACCTCCAGTCCATTTTCTCCACCAGGTATGCACATATCAGAAAGCCTGTCCGGTTGAAGCCATGCGTGCAGTGAACACCTTCAGGAGAGAGAAAGAAAAAAGAAATATGCAAACCTTTCAGAAAACTCCACCTCAAGTTTACACAATATATTGTTTTGTTGTTTTTCTGTCCCTATTGTTTTCACATAAATAATAGATTTACATTTATTTTTTAACGATAAATAGTGTTCTTATTTCCATTTCACACAGCTTGTCAATTTTTTGGATGTGTGTACCGTCACCTCAATTTACGCTCAATCAATTCAACGTGGCAATTATGAACGAGACCCCCTTATTTCAACAAACATGCCATTGGGCACAATTTCATCCAATGTAACATCTTTCACATCAATAAACCCAGCTCGCCTTTGAGATATACCGCGGCTGACTGGATGTTTTGAGGAGGGGCATCAAGTCACACACAAAGGACTCACAGGCAGATCCTTTTCTCCTTAGAGAGGGGTCCTGCCTTTATACCTACATCAAAAAAATCTGACACCAGCCATTGCACGCACAGAAAAGACCCAGGGAATTGATGAAACATCCAAGGAATGGAAAGAGCATGAGAAAAAATAAACAAGGAGAGAAAATTCTGCTCTTTCAGAAGAAAAGATTCTGGAAAGGAAACCCTCCACAAAAGCACTCTGAAGATTGCAGTCATATCTGACAAGAACCCTCCTAATTTGCGACAAACTGACATTTATTCAGACAAGATCCCTTCAGCAGGTGCACAGCAGGATTAAAAAAAATTTAAAAAATACATATAAAATGAAACCTTCTGACTCGCATGTCTCCCAATATATTAGGATGTTTGCCTGGCAACAGCAGCGATAAAGAAATCACATTTAACAGACCAATTGTCTAATTTGGACGTGTGTACTGTGGAGAAAACAAAGCCTAATCACCAGCTGGCTAAAGGCATGAGATTGCTGGGATGACATTCACACATTCTGCTCTGATGTTTGAGCAGTCTGATTTAAAAGTCGGGCAGCAGTTACAAGTTAAGAGCAAATCTGGACAGGATGAGGTGTAAGAGAGCACCCTGCTGTCAGTAGCATAAAAGTGCAGCGGCGTTACCCCGTCTTCGGCCGGTAAGGACCCCCTAGGCTAACCTTCAGGCAAAGGACATTACAGACCAATACCACTACAATAGCTGGAGATAACTTCTTTTTTTTTTAATTCCCCACTAAAAAACATTTACATGACAATTGAGGATATCGTGTGTGCCACTAGAACACTCCAAAGACTTCAAATAAAGCAATAGGCAAACTATTTTTTATGTAAATGTAAAATGCAGCAAGGTGTTTCGGCACAACTAAACACAGGCCTGATACCGATATGCATGCACTTAGCCATTATCAGCCAGTATCAGTGTAAGCCTAATTTAAAGGCAAAGCAAGGTGCTCCTTTCGTGTGCATGTGTTTAAGCCTATCCATTAACTATGTCTATACTCAGCTTGTAACTAAACCCATAATAACTTAATTTGTCACAACCTGCATTAGAAATTAGAATAGCTTGTTTCGAGCTCATAATAACAACCTGAAGAGCTACAAAGAAAAAAAAAATAATCTAGTTTGAGAAAAAAAAAAAGGAGGGGGGACAGTGGAAATAACCTTCCCACACACCAGCATCTACATTGCTCCCTTTTAGATCAAATCTATTTAGCCAAGGTGCTCATTGATATTCCTTCACCTATAAATCACCTACACAGTGTTCACTGGGAGATGAGTGTTGTTTGCGATATGCAACTCCTCCACAAGCTGACAAAATAGTGACTTGCACAGGACTGCATATTTTAAAAATGTACAAAGACACTCCGTGTGAGGGCTGAACATGGTGCTACTGTGCAGACATCAGAAGAGCACTAGTTGTACTGGGAAGCTGTTTGATATTTGACATGAGTGTACGAATGTGTTTGCTGAAATTTTAAACAGTGAAAATATATTCTGACAAGACCTCGCTCCAATTTGCGTTTAACCAATCCTGGAGTAAGGCTGCCCTCTGCTGGACACAAAAGCTAACGTTACCAATCAACCAATCACACAACACCAATTCAATTAATTTAATGTATGTAATGATCAAGATGAGTCATTGAAGCCTAAACTGAGCTGAAGAAAGATGATTCTAGTGAATTTGAACGTGGCGTGGCTGGTGGTGCCTGACGGGCTACTTTGAGTATTTCAGAAACTGCTTATCTAGGGGAATTTCCCCGTCCAGCTGTCTTTAGAGTTTATGGTCTGAAACAGATCAACTATGCTGTCAGCAGCAGCTCACTGGCCAAAATGCCTTGTTTATGTCAGAGGATAGTGCTTCAAGCTAATGTGAAGGCAACAGTAGCTCAAATAACCACTAACTATGCATGCAAAAGAACATCTCTGAACACAACATTGCAAACACCAAAGCAACTGAAAACCTTGCACAGCTTAACACCAACGATGCACCTGAGTATTGTAACTATAGTGTACTCATCTTCTGACGGCTGCTTCCAATAATAATAATAATAATAATAATAATAATAATATGCCACGTCATAAAGCTCAAATCCTTTGGAAGTTCAAAAATTTAACTGTACTCAAAAGCCCTCCACAGTCACCAGATATCGATCCAATTGAGCACCTTTGGGATGTGGTGGAACGGGAGATTTGCATCAGTGATGCAGTCCAAAATTTTCCAGCAGCTGTGTAATGCTAACATTTTAACTTGGACCAAAAAAAAGAAAGAAAAGGGAATCAACTAAAAAAGGCAATTCAGAAGGCAAAAAAGGGGATCTAACCCAGTACTACCAATAATAATAATAATAATAATAATAATAATAATAATAATAATAATAATAATAATAATATGCCATACCAAGGTATGCCTAATATAGTGATCATTTAGTGCAAAGGCATTTCTTCCAAAAGCAAACTTTTCTATTGAGAGTATGCGTATGAATTTAGAAGCTGCAACACGATACAGATCTTCATTCTCTTCCTAAGCCTAGGCATCAGCATAATGATCAACCACGCTTATATCAGAGAATCAAAGCAAAAACAGCAGTTTCTTTGAAGTTTACAACCCACAAGCCACAAATAAAAATATTTTTAAGTAACAATAAACAAGATTGAAAGTACATACGCAAAAATATTATCAATGTTAAAATATAAGAGCTAGAAATTATAAATAACAGTGTTCTGTAATGTACGAGTAAACTATGTTGATGTCTACTTTTAAGGGGTGTAGCAAGGTTTTTGCAGTAGTATTATAATTACATAGCACTAAACTCTTAAAAAAAACACTTACAAGGACACAGTGACACTTTATTCTTTACTGCAAAATAAAAGTGGCAGTGTAAATGAAGCAGAAGGTCTATGTACTTTAAGTGTGGGTTTTTGAAATGATGTTCAGGCATTAAGATTCATACTGACTGGGATAAGTCATAGCCAGAATTTGATTACTGCTGAAGCAAAGCTGTTACAACTGTCTGACTAAATTACACACAGTGCAAACTCATTTACAGCACCAGATGTTTTTACACTTAAAGTCTATTTCTGTCTCATTTCATATCCTTCTGTGTGCAGAGGTGATAAACACAGTACTTAATGGGTTCCAGTCACACTGGCACATCTGATATCTTAAGAAATGAAAAACATAGACACACTCAGAGGCTTCTCTTGGCCAAACACTCAGCTTCTGGTATCATTTTAGTCAGAGAGAAAATACTGTTAAACCTGAATAATTTTCCACAAATAAGTAAACAGTAGTGGTGCAACGGATCACGGTTGATCCGTAATCCAAACGGATCCCACTCCGCGGTTCGGCACGCACGTGATCCGAAGATTCAAAAAAGAAGAAAAAAGTTTGTGTATGGTGCGCATGGTCAGTCTGTCAAGCGATAGCTATGGTCAGCGCTAGCGGTCCAAGTGGAGGAGCAGAGGAGTTTGCGGTATTTAAGCAGCCCTTTGCTGCCCAATCCGACCGGGCTAAAGCTATTACAAAAGCTATTGGGGTGTTTAGCTGCAGACAGGAGGCCGTATTCTGTTGTGCAAAACAAGGGGTTTAAACTAGTCAACGCGTTAGTTGACGCATTGGCGCCGTGCAGCCCCACGCACGGGGCGATCCGCGGTAACTAGCTAACAGAGATTTGCCGCGTTAATGAAGTTATGGCATTAACGTCATTTTAACGAGATTTACGGGGCAGCACTAGTTTAAACTATGATGAAGGTTCTTGAGCCACGCTATGACATCCCGTCGCGCATCCACTTTAGTGACAAGATCGCTCCCAGCATGTATGAACAGGACAAGTTTAAAGTTATGGCTGAGCTGTCCCAGGCATCTTTTGTTGCCCTAACTAAAAATGGGTGGACCTCCAGGGCAACAGAAAGCTACGTGACCGTGACCGCTCATTATATCACAGCAGAGTGGTAGACAGAAAGCTCTGTACTGCCCTATATTGCACCTTAATTTGTTTTTATATAATTGCGTGGAATAAGTCTTGAGTTGAATGTTTTTTTATTAGGAAAAAAAAAAATACTTAAGTAAATGACGAGTTAAATTTTTGTCTTCTTTTTTTTCCTGCTAATCCGAAAATTGATCCGATCCGTGACGGAAAAAAAAACGTAATCCAATCCGAACCGTGAGACTTTTGATCCGTTGCACCACTAGTAAACAGGATCCAACATTATAATATATGAAAAATGTAAAGTGACACGACAAATAAAGTAACCAGGGATACTATGTGCAAAGTGTTTAAAGATAGTGTGCTAAAGAGTTGGTTAGGTTTTTATAATATGCATCTGTTTGTTTCCCATAGGGTTGGTCGATTGGACGAATATATCGACTATCGACGACAGGTTGAGCCTATAGTCAATAGTTTTTACAAGGGCGATTTATTTATTTATTTGCCCATGAGTAAGTTTGCTAATAGGACCCTCTTTCATCGGCGAGCAAATGTACCCTCCTCAGAGTGCGCCCAAATGCTTGTTGATGGAGCTGCAGAAGCTGGTGATAGCCCAACCCTAGTTTCCCAGGCACAAAAGAGCAAATAGATATCGGGGAAGGCAAAGCAAATGAACCCTGGCATTCTCATTAGCTACCTCCTAAATTGTTACTTTGCTGTCGGCAATGATCAGTACAACTTTTACTCTTCCTGTTACAATAGCAAGCTTTGGGAGGTATACCTTCTGCTGGTGGACCTTAGATTCAAAAGTGCACCTAGTCTGTCAATTAGATTGATGAAATCCACATGATGAGGGGCGGGCGATATGACCAAAAATATTTATCACGATATACATTT